TTTTATTCATCATCTAGGACAGTGCCTTGGTGAATGTCTTATTTTGGCAGGGGTGGGAATGGGGTGGAGGTAGGGTCTCTTTTTGAAAAAGTGTTTTTACAAATTATTTTCCAACTATATAATGAAAAGTAACAAATACAGCCTCATTCAGTGTCTCTCTCTCCTCCAGATACAGAAAACAGCCAATATACCATTTTTAGCTGCTTGGATTTGGTATTTCTGAGCTCTTCTGGGCAGTTGGTGAATGGGACTCTGCAATCGATAGTGCTCTGTTTTGGAAAGGAAGGGTCTCTTTCAGTTTTGTGTGGAAAGACATCCAGATCTTTGCTTTAGGAAGATTTCAGTGTATGCACTTCATTGTGTTGCACTTCATGTTTAGTAATTAAGAACATGAATGAAACTGGGGCGCCTGGGTGGCTCAGTCATTAAGCGTCTGCCTTTGGCTCAGGTCATGGTCCCAGGGTCCTGGGATCGAGCCCCGCATCGGGCTCCCTGCTCGGCAGAAAGCCTGCTTCTCCCTCCTCCACTCCCCCTGCTTGTGTTCCCTCTCTCGCTGTGTCTCTCTCTGTCAAATAAATAAATAAAATCTTAAAAAAAAAAAAAAAGAGCATGAATAAAACTATAAATCTGTATGTGTGGTATATGATGGGTATATGTCTGAATTAAAAAGTAATAAAGTTTCTCTGAAAGAATACCCAAGAAATTGGTAACATTGGTTGCCTTTAGACTGGGAAAATGGATGGTTGGTGAATAGGAATGGAAGGGAGATTGTATTCTCTTTTTGACATTTTGAATTTATTGACACATACATATATTACCTATTCAAAAAATTCATTAAATACATGTCAAAATTCAAACAAAGAGTTCAAACAATAAATTATTTTTAGCAATACAAAAAATATGCCATGCCCAGACATCTAAAAGGCCCTCCAAAGAAACAACCACTCTTACGTTCCTTCTGTAGACTTCAGAAATTTCTATGGATTACATGACTATATGTTTTTATATCCTTTCCTAATATATAGATGGGAATTACTACATCCACTTACCTTACAATTTTTACTTAGCAACTGGGAACATATACATCTTCCTAATTCTTTTCATTCTGCATAGTATCCATTATATTGCAAGTTTTTAGCCAGATCCCTATTAGAGGACATGTGGGTAGTTCCCAGCTTTTGCTATTATAAATGATACTGCAGTGAATACCTTATACACGCATTTTTCTACAAACATGTAAGTGTATTTGAGGAATAAATTCCTGGAAGTAGTATTGCTGACTCAAAACGCAAATACATTTATGATTTGTTATTGATAGATTACCTCCAAATTGAGGACACTCCCGACAACAGTATGTAAGTGCCTGCTTTCCCATCACCAACACTTTGTATTATAAAAATATTTTTATCTCTCTTAATGTGATAGGTAGGAATGGATCTTGTTTTAATTTGCAGCTAGTAAGTAGTAGAGCCAAGATTTGAGGCCAGGTTCTTTTTTTTTTTTTAAGATTTTATTTATTTATTTGACAGAGAGAGCAAGAGAGAGAACACAAGCAGGGGTAGTGGGAGAGAAAGAAGCAGGCCTCCTGCGGAGCAGGGAGCCCAATGCGGGGCTCGATCCCAGGACTCTGGGATCATGACCTGAGCCGAAGGCAGACGCTTAACCATCTGAGCCACCCAGGCACCCCTGGAACTAATATGCTTAACTGCTATACTATACTGCCTCAACATAGTAAGATTAATCATCTTTGCATATTTTATCAGGAATTTGCACTTCTTGTTTATGTGCCTTTTGTCCATATTTCTATTATGCATTTACTATCATTTTTTAAATGTCTTGTTACTAGCAAGCATCGCAGAAATTCAGCCAAGAAACATCAAGTGATGTTAAAACCAGTGGGTGAAAAGGTGAATAGAGAATAATATATTTACAGAGATTTTAAGTATTCCCTCCACCTCAAAAACACTGATTAAAGTCTTAAAAACAACAACAACAAACATTAATTGAATATAAAAGGGAAAAATGGAACTTTACAGTAGAGAAACCTGGCAGGCACCAACTCAGACATGTGATCAAGGTTAACTTCACTAGTAATGAGACAGATCAAAATTATGAACCACATGATAAGATACAATGAGAAGAACACAACATCTCGAGGGATGCCTGGGTGGCTCAGTTGGTTAAGTGTCATGGCTCAGGTCACGATCCTACGGTCCTGGGATCGAGTTCCGTATCATGCTCCTTGCTCAGCGGGGAGCCTGCTTCTCCCTCTGCCTGCCATTCCCCTGCTTGTGCTCTCTCTCTCTGACAAATAAATAAATAAAATCTTTAAAAAAATAAAAGAAAGAAAAAAGAAGAACACAGCATCTCTTCTGTGATTTTTCTGCCAAAGTTTCAAACCTTGAATCTAACCATGAAGAAACATCAGTTAAATTGAGTTTCTAAAACATAACTGGCTGGGTCCCCTGGGTGACTCAGTTGGTTAAACATCTGACTCTTTTTTTTTGAAAAGTTAAAAATTCCCTAATTTTTTATTCCTGGTACCACTACCACAATTTACAGGGCAATATACCTGATGTCATGAAAATAAAAAGACAAAGACAAAGCTACAACAGATAAAAGACCTCAGGAATGTACATCTAATTGACACTACATTGCCTTAATCAATAGCTGCACTTTTTGCAAACTGTGGCTATGACAGTCCTGAACAAGAAGGGTTTCCTGTTTAAGCTGCAGTAACTTTTCTGACTATGGATCATCCTTCCTTCTGCGGCAGATTTTTACAGTTCCTCTAATGCATTTGGGACGACTGTCTCAAAGTAACCTGCAGCTTTCCCGACAACTCCTTGCTCTCCTGCTAAGAACTGAAGCCCTTTTCTTCTGAATTTGTTTTAGAACCTTCTGCTACCATATCCACCACTTCCACCACCAGATCCATAACCACCACTATAGGGTCTGCCTGAGCTTCTTCCACCAAAACTGCCCCCTTTCATGGGTCGATAATTTGATTGCTGTTGTCCACTATAATTTCCAAAATCATTATAGTGCCCACCACCACCATAGTTACCACCTCCAAAATTTCCTCCTTCATTGTAACCATCATACCCTCCACCACTGCCTCCATATCTGCCTCCTTGGTTTCCATATCCTGGTCCACCACCATAGTTGCCGCCATCACCTCCAGATCCGTTATATCCACCATCACCTCCTCCATAACTACCTCTGCTGCCACCACCTCTGCCACCGTAGCCTCCTCTTCCACCGAAGTTTCCACCACGGCCAAAGTTTCCTCCATGACCCATGAAGTTGCCAGATCCACCTCCACGACCTCTTTGTGATCCAGTAGACTGCATTTCTTGTTTAGAAAGGGCTTTTTTCACTTTACAGTTATGCCCATTAATAGTGTGGTATTTCTGAACAGTAATTTTATCAACTGTATCATGATCATCAAAAGTTACAAAAGCAAATCCTCTCTTTTTTCCACTCTGCCTGTCTTCCATAACTTCTATGGAGTTACCTTGCCATACTTTTCAAAGTAGTCTCTCAGATTATATTCTTCTGTATCTTCTTTAATACCACCAACAAAAATTTTCTTCACAGCTCTAGAAACAGCTCTCTTTGGTTCCACTACACGCCCATCAACCTTGTGTGGTTGGGCACACATTGCTGCATCCATCTCTTCAACACAAGAGTAAGTCACAAAACCAAAACCCCTGGAACGTTTTGTTTGGGGGGTCTCTCATCACCACACAATCTGTAAGTGTACCCCATTTTTCAAAATGTTCTCTTAAACTATCATCTGTAGTTTCAAAGCTCAAACCACCAATGAACAGTTTTCTCAACTGCTCTGGTTCCTTTGATTATGGCCCTCCATTTTGAGACTGGACTCGCCTCTTCCAACTCGAGTTCAATATGGGACCTAAACATCTGACTCTTGATTTCAGCTCAGGTCATGATCTCAGGTGTGTGGGATCGAGCCCCACATGGGCCCACATGGGCCATGGTGCAGGTGTTCATTTAGCATAATGCCCACAACAAACACCATCAAATTTCCTACAGGTTAAGATTTGTTTGTTAGAGAACACAAATTATTAGGAAAGCAGTAAAATCAAAAAAAAAAAAAAAAAGCAGTAAAAATATTGCCAAGAAAGCTAACAAGGACTTTAGCTTAAAATGGGCTTGTGAGATAAAATGCTCAGATTCAGCATTGCGTGGAATACATACTAAAAATGATTTGCCAGTTATCTGAAACGTTAAAATTAAGTGCTGTTATACATTATTTGTTAGATCTGGCAGTCCTCACCTTAATTTTTTTTGAAAACGTTTAAAGGTGCAAGAACTGTGAATATCAGCAAGTAAAAAGCTTTGGAGCTTAATAAACACAAATCCAAAAAACAAGTCTGAAAGGATTCTGGATGACAGTTTATGAAATCTGTTTTTTAAAAGGGAGTTCAAACCAGCTTTCCCCAAAAGGGAGACTATATTGTTTATTGCTGATATAGATTAATACTACAGAATAGACTGCTTCTGATACTACCACTGAAATTAGTCTAAAGAAAAAGAAAATGCCAGGCCTTTAAACTTCACAGTTAGAATGAAGTACCCTTTACTAGGAGTAAAAAAAACTCACCTAGAGATTGAAGATAGCCTGGTGCCAAAATTCCAGGAAACTCAAAACTCATTTTTGAAGTGGAATTAGTGGCGTTGATAGAAATAACAATGAACAATGACATAAACCTGTGACCTTGATGAACCATGTAACTTTTTACAACTGCTCACATTTATGGCTGATTCTTTAGGAGTTAAGTTAAACCTTGCTTGCTCACTTGTTACTCATCTTTTGAGAAATATGACCCTTTACAAATCTCTGAAGTCTAAAGTATTTTATTATAGCTGTGTAAAATATTGGTAAAGAAAATTGATTTTTGTTTTACCTCATGTCACTAAAAATCAATACTTTTTTTTAAAAGATATACTGTTTGACATATACACTATTATAGGCAGTGAGGTCACTCAAGGAGACAATCGAAGACTGTTGGGACCAGGATGCAGAGGCTCGGCTTACTGCGCAGTGTGCGGAGGAACGGATGGCTGAACTTATGATGATATGGGAAAGAAACAAATCTGTGAGCCCAACAGTCAATCCCATGTCTACTGCTATGCAGAATGAGCGGTAAGACCTGGAGGGGTTTGGCATTCATCAGTCAGTATTGAAAACTAAGACTAAACAGAGGTTAGAAAAAAAATACTATTAAACCAGTCTAAAAGGGCAATGATTAATTCATACAACCTAATATTGTGATTTTTCTTTCAATATGCCTGTTTTTTTACTAGAGATTTTTGTTTGGTATAAGTGCAAGATGGCATCTGTGGTTTTTTTTTAATATCTCAAGATACAGCAAAAAAGGTTAGTCTTTATTAATGCTCCTTCTTCCCTAAAATAATGAAGCAAAACATTTTCATAGTTCCAAAAGTTTATAAGCACTTCTACATGCATTGTCACATTTATCATTTGTTGCCATTATTCCTCTTTCTCTTGCTTTTTATTTTTTTATCTTTTTATTTATCTTTAGGGAGAATAGAACTATGAACTTGCCTATATATCTAACCACTGTTTTACTGGAGACTAAGATTTCAGGCTTCCTATCCAATGCTGTTTGTATAGAATATACTACTACTACTTTAACATGAAAGCAATTCATAGATTTTTCTATCCCATCATAAATATTACTTTATGAGACATTTCTTTGTTAAATTATGATTTTTCATTCTAAGTAAAAGGGCTTTTTAAAAAAATTCCTTAAAAATTGGAACTTTCAGACAATGTAATCTGTGTTTCTTTGTTCCATGTTTGGGGGAAAGTTTTCCCCAAAATTTGTCATTTTATTTAATACATGTTAAAATTTTTCAGAAAAGCACCCAGGAAAAAGTTACCAGAGAAAATTGAGATAAAAATATACTTGATTATTGAATAATTTTTTTGCTGTTTTCTGTTGTTCTAATTTCTAACAGCAGTTTGTGTTATGAACTATAGACCCAAAATTGGGTTTACACTGCTTGTGTTTGGACTGAATTAGCTTCAGCATGGGAACCCTTATTCCTTATATATCAGTAAGTCAAGGAAGGTAAAGACTAGCAATTCTAAATACGAATTTTCTTACTTTATGCATACCTGAGGATAGTCTTCTGCTTCTTTCTCCGCTGATCTCTGTATTTTCTGTGTGTTCTAGCATGTTATTTGTACCTCTCTCACAAGTCAGTTACTTTTACTCTAAGTACTTTTGAACTTTTCTTGAATGGTAAGAAGAATCCTTGATGCGACCCTCCATTGTGTTGACCATTTTTTGCCCCCTAAATCATTCAGCTCTATGTTTTTTTTACATGCTTTTTCTCATGTCCAGTCACTTCTAAATAGTTTCCCCTAAATCGTGGTTCATCCCATAGTCATTCCATTCTAGGTTTCATTGTATTGAATCTTACCCCCCAGACCTCTATACAACTACTTTTTTATTCTTCACCCTCCTGTCATTCTCCTTGAGCTGCTGCTTTTCTCCTATAACACTTGTATCTATTAATGTTCCCATTGTTTAGTTAAAGCTATCCCTGGCTTTTATTTTAAATAACCTAAATATATTATCATGTGATGCTCAAGAACCATCCCTCTCAAGGTGTGATAATGACAGTGAAGAACTCTTAATAGTTGGAGAGTAGTTCTGAATTGTTGTTCCTTTATCTGAATGTCACACTCTGCCGTTAGTCTGTAGAACTTTCTTTGATATGGCTCAATTTACCCCCAGAAAGGTACATTCCATTTCTAAACTGCCTCTTAATGGAAGCATGGAAGCACTTTGGAACAACCTAAAAGCTTATATTCTTTTTACCATTTGGCCATTGTAACTTAATTGGTAAAGTATTTATTGAGTTGCCACTATGTATCTAGGATTGTAGGAGTGCCAAAGAAACATATACCATGGCTCCTCCTCTCATGCACCTTTATATCTGGTTGTGCAACTATACCTACAGTTGATAAAAATATTTGGTAATGTTACAAAACTATAGAGGAGATTTTTTAATTAACTCTTATAAACCAAAATAATGAACATCTATGAAAATCACATCTAGATCCACATAGGTTTTTCAGTAGTCTTAATTCATATAAAACTAGCATTTAGGGGCACCTGGGTGGCTCATTCGGTTAAGTGTCTGTCTTCAGCTCAGGTCATGATCTCTCAGCCCCCCACTGGGCTCTGTGCTCAATGGAGAGTCTGCTTCTCTCTCTCCCTCTGCCCCTCTCCCCAGCTCTTGCTCTTTCTCGTGCGCTGTCTCTCTCAAATAAATGATAATCTTTTTTAAAAAACTAGCATTTAGCAAGTTATTAATTGACACTTGATTATGTGATCACAATTTTTACATAACCTCTAGTACAATGTGGTTAGGAATAAAATAAAAAACAGTTCATACTTCAAAATCAGAGGTATTAAACTTGGAGGGTCAGTTTTTCATAAATGTACATTCTCAATGTGGCACTTTTTTTCTTTCTTTAAGCAACCTTTCACACAATAGGCGTGTGCCAAAGATTGGCCCTTATCCAGATTATTCTTCTTCCTCATACATTGAAGACTCTATCCATCATACTGACAGCATTGTGAAGAATATTTCCTCTGAGCATTCGATGTCTAGCACACCTTTGACTATAGGGGAAAAGAACCGAAACTCAATTAACTATGAACGGCAGCAAGCACAAGCTCGAATTCCCAGCCCTGAAACAAGCGTCACCAGCCTGTCCACCAACACAACAACCACAAACACCACTGGCCTAACTCCAAGCTCTGGCATGACCACTATATCTGAGATGCCATACTCAGATGAAACAAATCTGCATGCCACAAATGTTTCACAGCCAATTGGGCCAACCCCTGTCTGCTTACAACTTACAGAAGAAGACTTGGAGACCAACAAGCTGGACCCAAAAGAAGTTGATAAGAACCTCAAGGAAAGTTCTGATGAGAATCTCATGGAGCATTCTCTTAAACAGTTCAGTGGACCAGACCCACTGAGCAGCACCAGTTCTAGCTTGCTTTACCCGCTCATAAAACTTGCAGTAGAAGTGACTGGACAGCAGGACTTCACACAAGCTGCAAATGGCCAAGCATGTTTAATTCCTGATGTTCCACCCGCTCAGATCTATCCTCTCCCCAAGCAACAAAACCTTCCTAAGAGACCTACTAGTTTGCCTTTAAACACCAAAAATTCAACAAAGGAGCCCCGGCTGAAATTTGGCAGCAAGCACAAATCAAACTTGAAACAAGTAGAAACTGGAGTTGCCAAGATGAATACAATCAATGCTGCAGAACCTCATGTGGTGACGGTCACCATGAATGGTGTGGCAGGTAGAAACCACAGTGTTAACTCCCATACTGCCACTACCCAGTATGTTAATGGGGCAGTACCATCTGGCCAGACAGCCAACACAGTGGCACACAGGGGCCAAGAAATGCTGCAGAATCAATTCATTGGTGAGGATACCCGACTGAATATTAATTCCAGTCCTGATGAGCATGAACCTTTACTGAGACGAGAGCAACAGGCTGGCCATGATGAAGGTGTTCTGGATCGTCTTGTGGACAGGAGGGAACGGCCACTGGAAGGTGGCCGAACTAATTCCAATAACAACAACAGTAATCCGTGTTCAGAGCAAGATGTTCTTACACAGGGTGTTCCAAGCACAGTAGCAGATCCTGGACCATCAAAACCCAGAAAAGCACAGAGGCCTAATTCTCTGGATCTTTCAGCTACAAATATCCTTGATGGCAGCGGTTTGCAGTGTAAGTGGAGGGATCATTTAATCTCTCCTGCTTGTCTTTTGGGACTGTTTAATTACTTAGATAAAATTAAATTATGTTTTCAACTAACAATTAGTTATTTTTACCACTTTTGGAAATAAAATAAGCCACTTGGTTGGACCGCAAAAGTAATCAGACTGTTGTAAAGAAAAAAACTAATTTGTTGTTCTTGATAATTAAATAGTCAATGTCACAACAGTCAGAACTTAATACCAACTTTAATACATGCCTTACATAGTCCCTGGTTCATAATGCAATTCACGTACTTGCTGTGAATGGTTGAAATTAAGTAAATACGAGTTTAAAAGTTCCAGGTAAAATGATGTCAGTAGAACTTTTGAAATAGTTGTTGAGTATATTAATATCTATTATATATACATCTAGATTTTATCAAATTAACCTTAAATCTTTAAAGTCCAGAGAAAATTCAGAAGAAGTCATTATAAAAAAACTGAAGTTCTTGTTTTGTTTTTTATTTTTTGTGTGTGTCATCTTTTCCAAGAGTTACGTGTTGAGCCTCTTCCATGCCTATAGCATTGTGCCATGGGTCCCCTAGACGAATAACTTGATACTTGGTTTCTAGCTCTAAAGGGATTGTAACATGAGACAGGAGAGCCCATCAAAATCTTTAACAGTCATCATTATACAAAATGATTTCTCTTTTAGACTGACAGCACTTTATGAAAAAAAAGCAGTCATGTTTTATGGTTGTTGTCAAGGACTACAAAATGGCCTGAAGGGATTCAGCTCTCAAAAATTAATCAGTAGAGGGGCACTTGGCTAGCTCAGTCAGTGGAGTATGCAACTTGATCTTGGCGTCTTGAGTTCGAGCCCCATGTTGGGCCTAGAGCTTACTTTAAAAAAAAAATCAGTAGAATCTATCCCTTTGTTTGAGTGGCTTGTATTATAGACCAGTTAATACACCCTATAGCAGGGCTCCATAGCAATAAAATGTCTAGTCAGGTGTGGGAAGGGGAAATTACTAGAAAATTTATACTGTAGTATTTATGTCATCCTTCTGAAAATATTATATGCCAGGTGCCTTTAAAATTTGATCTGCTTTGAAAATTAAGTAGAATGATTAAATGCATTTTGCCAAGTTAGGATCACTACCAACAACCAAAGGATTTGAGAATACAGCTGAGAACTTTTAATTTTCTCCTCTGTTTTTGCTCGCCCAAAAGAATAAGCCAACCAATTACGGAAACAATTGTGCTTAAAGAGTCTCAAAATAAGTTGGTTAAGTTTTGCCTAGAAAATAATTGCCTGGCATTATGAATTTCAAGTAATGTCTATTAATACCTCCAGATATTAGTTTGATCTGTTCTTGAGTTACAGACCTAATTTCTTACTATTTAATAGTTTCTTTATATATAGTTTATTTCTGTCCTTTTATTTCCAGTAGGTGAGTCAACACAAGATGGCAAATCAGGATCTGGTGAAAAGATTAAGAAACGTGTGAAAACTCCCTATTCTCTTAAGCGGTGGCGCCCCTCCACCTGGGTCATCTCCACTGAACCACTGGACTGTGAGGTCAACAACAATGGCAGTGACAGGGCAGTTCATTCCAAATCCAGCACCGCAGTTTACCTTGCAGAAGGAGGCACTGCCACAACCACGGTCTCTAAAGATATAGGAATGAACTGTCTGTGAAATATTTTCAAGCCTATGGAGTGAAATTATTTTTTGCATCATTTAAACGTGCAGAAGACATTTAAAAAAAACTGCTTTATCTTCCTGTCAGTACCCTCTCCCACCCCTGCAACAGGACTTGCTTTAAATAGATTTCAGCTATGCAGAAAAATTTAGCTTATGCTTCCATTATTTTTTAATTTTGTTTTTTTTTTAAGTTTTGCACTTTTGTTTAGTCTCATTAAAGTTATATTTGTCTGTTATGACCACAGAATTATATGTGTGTGTATCAAAAGTGGTCTCAAAATATTTTTTTAAGAAAAAAAGCAAAAACAATGTATTGCTGATAATCAGTTTGGACCAGTTTCTAAAGGTCATTAAAACAGAAGCAAGACAGGTTTGACTGCAGTGGTGTCTGGTATCCATGTTTTATTTCTGGGCACAAGCTAGTTTATATGTTGAACTGTTCCTGAACATATTATCTGTTGGACATTCTTTTTTCTTGTGTTTTGTTTGAACGTGCAATAGTCTATAGTCCACAAATAAGCTTTCTTGTAAGCTCTCTTCCTAACAGACCACACATTCTTCCATAATAAGTACATTTTTCTGTCCCAACCCCCATACTTTTGGCAGGTCAGTTCTATGGCAGTGATTTTTGCACAAGAGAAAGCAGCTACCTGATTTCTTGCTTTCTCTCTCCTTATGGAGAATGCAGAAACATTGTCTCAAAGGGCTCTAAAGAAGGAACTACCAAAACCTAATTTGAAATGCCATTTCTTTTAACCTTCCAAGTCCTAAATGTTTCTTTCCAGGCATTTTAATAAACGTATTTGGTTCTGGTTTTTGGACGTTCATAAGAGAGCATAGAACAAAGTAGATGAAGTCAAATATTAGCCTTTCTTCATTTTATTTTATTTTTATATGTATGTTCATGTTCCATATTCATTTATTTAAGAAGCACATTTTTATCAGAAAACTTAGAGAGCTATACTTATATGGACTTTTTAAGTAGGTAGATGGTTAAGACTATATAGTGTTATAGCCTTCATTCTCTGAATAGGCCATCTTTGACTCAAATAAAATTACATTTCCTATTTAAAATAACTTCAAAAGTAATTCATAGTTTTGAACCAGTAGTAACTTTTTATTCTCTTCCCAAGCGACGCCTGGTGACTTTATCTGAAAATGAGTCCTCTTCCCATGACCTAAAACACTGTGTGGAAAAATCAATTCATTTGGCATGCCAAATCCCTGTGGAAGGAAAGATTGCTGCCAAACCTATCATTTTTGAGCAGACTGAGGCTTACCTCTCTTTTTTCAAAACTGTTTCTTCACTAATCCTATTTTCATAATTTCTCTTTTGCCAGCTTTTCATATGATCTTTGATATGTGAGTAGCGTTTATTATTTACATTATATTAGAATATACCTTTTAGTGATAACATGTTATGTATCCTTCAAGTCATATTGTTCTTTTTAAAAAGCTTCCTTTGCTTCTTTCCTTACTGATAGTTATCTCTAAACAGCAACCTCAGCGTGTTTTTTTAAATAAAGCACTTTATGTCAAATAAGGGACTTTTTTTATAAGCACAAATTATTTTCTATCAATTTGCAAACAGTGATGATCTCACTTAATTTTTCCAGATTCTCAGAGTACTTAGTAGATGTTATTTAACTAAGTTCTAAGATTTCTCTGGAAGATAAAAAGCTAAGAGAAAAACACAAATGCCCATATTCTTACTTTTAGGTTTTTATCTCCTGAACAATATTTTCTCACTCATATTCCTCTATCTTCATCATTTAGCTAAAGATAACATAAATGTCCCAATTTGTTGTCCAAAATATTTATAATTTACTATATAAACCTTTTTTTTTCGTCATCTGCTATAATCCTGTAAGTTAGATGTTACAACACTTCACATGTATTCTGATGGATGGCTGAACACAGTTTTGAATTTTTAGAATTAAGATTATTTTTCTAGGGCGCCTGGGTGGCTCAGTCATTAAGCGTCTGCCTTCGGCTCGGGTCATGGTCCCGGGGTCCTGGGATCGAGTCCCGCATCGGGCTCCCTGCTCCGCGGGGGGCCTGCTTCTCCCTCTCCCACTCCCCCTGCTTCTGTTCCTGCTCTCGCTATCTCTCTCTCTGTCAAATAAATAAATAAAATCTTTAAAAAAAAAAATTTAAAAAAAAATTATTTTTCTAGTGCCCAGGATTTCCACCTTTTTTTGTTTTATTGGCCCTTCTCTTGATTCAGATCCTTAACATTTTTCAGTCTTCTGGCATAATTATTCTTCTATCTATATAACAAATTATTTATATCTTTCCCACCAAATTTTCACTTAGTTTTCTTGCCTTTAAATGTCTTTGAACTGCATTTCATTATTTTCAAACATGTGTAGGATATCTTTGAATCAAAATAAATTATATTCCTTCTCGAATTGAGGATAAATGACCATTTGAGATCTAACTGATCTTTTCCTGACAGAAGAAGTTATCTTACATTCTACTTTACTTTGTGTTTAGGCTAGTTGGTTGTAATTTTTCCAGCATCTTTTTTTTATGTTTAATAAAATGCTTTCAAGAATTAATAGACCAAAATAAAAGAGAATCCTTTTAAGTTTCCCATTTCATGCAAACATGTTTAAAACAAATAATTTTCTTTCCCTAGTTTTTTTTAGTAGACCCTTAAAAAATAGGAAGAGTAAAAAGTGTAGATCATTTTAATAAATTTTAAATTAAATTGGACATCAGACTGATTTTGAATCTGTTTGTAATATACAAGCAAGCAAAATTACTTAAAATCCTTGCTAACTTTATTAATCTAATAATTTTTTTAAAGCTAATATTTAATTGCTATCACAATATTTTGCATGTAGTAGAAAAGCATTTGGATCCTTCAAATAAAGGCCATTTAATGAAAAAAAATTAAAATTCCCTTTGCTAGTTTTACAACCTTAAAAGCATCATAATAGGTAATCAAATTCTAATATTAATTCCCTGAGCTATCCTAATTGTATGTCAGAACTGAGTCATTGAAAGAACTTGGTTTGAATTGGGTTTAGACAAAAATGACTTAATTATAATTCCTAACAGTGTTCCCCTTTTTAAATTCCTAATTTGGGGAAAAGAAACCAATATCAATGTAAAATGTTATGAAAAGGCACAGGAATTAAATAATACTAATTGACAATTTGTTATATACTGAATGCTGGGATATACATACACAATCTCTTTTAATCCTCATAGGAACTATTTAAGGATCTTAGTTAATATTCCCACTTTACAGATTGAGGAAATTGAAGCAAAGAGACGCTAAGCCATTTGCCCAAGTTCCACATCCTAGTAATAGAGAAAGCTGGATTTTAACCTGGGTTTGCTTCTCCACATCTCTTTCTTTTTTTTAAAAAAAAGATTTTATCTATTCATGAGAGACAGAGAGAGAGAGAGGCAGAGGGAGAAGCAGGCTCCCAAGGAGCAGGGATCCCCATGTGGGACTCGATCCCAGGACCCCGGGATCATGACCTGAGCCAAAGGCAGATGCTTAACCATCTGAGCCACCCAGGCGCCCTCCACATCTCTTTCATCCACACCACACTGCCTATGCACTGTATGACAGGATGTGTAATATACTGACATTTTGCAAGAAATTCAGTCATTACACTCCAGCACAACTGTGGCTTGTATATAAGCCAAAGCAGATACCTTAATGACATGTAGACATGTCTATGCTGGCTGTTGCTTGGAGAAATAATTACTAATTCAAGATAAAATTCAATCCCACATCTGCCATCATGAATCCTAAAATTATTTCACTTCTCTTCACTCCTAATATTCTTGCATTGTAGAACTAAAGAAAAAGTAAATTTTAAGGGAAAAGTGAAGGTGGCTTTTGGGAACAAAGACTTTTCCCCTAAATTGATTCCATACTTGACTTGAAGAATTAATTTAACATGGATTTTAAGTCTCATCAATCCTTTGACTCCATCTTGAAAATTTCTGCTTGTATTGACTTAAAGAAAATTTTACTAATCCAGAAAACTAATTGAGGAGGACATAGGAAGGATACAAAGATAGTATCTTTTTTTATAAGGCAGTTTCAATAGCTTCTTACATGTACCCACTTATTGCAGAAAATGTACATTGGTTCTGAATGTGAAAATAACTAAAGGAAGGTAGGAACATGCAAGTAAGTATGTGTTTCAGTGGGAATTGTCACAAAATTTGGCAAGTGTTTTTATTTAAAATTTTCAAGTTTGGCGTCTAAAGCCAAATGGAATACCTGGGAGGCTGCAGCTATTTACTGAACTTTCCATCCTCAAAGTCATTTAAAATGGAAGAATACTTCAGTAAGTTTTTTGTTGGTTTTTTTTAATATTTATGGAAATGAACACTTCATTGGAGGTAGTTAGCTTCTAGAACTTGATTACATTGTATTCCTATACAACCTTTTATTAATTTATGTTGAACTTACTACCAGTTATGTGCAGGTTATTGCATAACTATTCACAGATTGCTTTATATATTACTTTATCTTCCAAGCTAACTGATTAGAAATTGTACACACGTTAGTTGATTATCTAGACCTGTTATTCCAGAAATTGTGTAACACTCCCACATACACCCCAGAAGTTTTTTTCAGACTGAGATGTTTGTAAATATACCTTTTGCTGTCAGTTCGCTCTTCAGTGGATAAAATTGCATTTTAACTTATAGATTCTGAACTATGCAAATGTTAGCCAAAACTACCTTGCATGATCCACTCTTAAATATACTCCTCGATTTAGTAAATCTGGCAAATCACTGTTTGAGCTGGTTACACAAATGTTATTATCAAAAGAAGGCTTTTCTATAGCTTCTCAGATTAAACTAACATAGAAGAAAAGAGGAAATCTCAGGGTGCTCTCGTGCACCTACCCATTACTTTCCTTCAACCGCCTTTTAGTTTGTGTCTGACTTACTCTATCCCTTGGTTATCTGACTTGCAATCTTCTGTGTCAGGAAAATTTTCTTGTCTATTCTGCTTCCCTCCTGTTTCATTTTATGTGCATTTGTCTCCTCCAGCAGTAAAAAGGGAGAGCAGTTGGCTATCTTCTCCAGTATTGTTATTTTTCATTATGCTTCCGGCTTCTCAATTAACATCTAAGTCTCGATTCTTCAGACAAAATTGCTGTGGTTCCCTTAGCATTTCCTTCTCAGCCCTATTTTAATAACTATTTATACTTAAGAACACCTGAAATTATATTTTACATTATATTCAAATTCATTACTCTAAGTAATAGTTCAGTAGGATAGAATTGAGAATGAAGATGTTACCATTTGACAATGGATCCAACCATCAGATTGTCAGAAAATCAGCACTTAATTAAGTTTTGTATTATCTAACATTTCCTATTAAATTGTGGAGTTTTACAATTTTATATTCTCATTAGTTATAACTAAAAAGCCATGCACACAGAATTGTATATAATTTTGCCATTAAAATTTTTTTAACCTATATTGCAGCAAGCTTAGCATTACGATTGAGCCACAACATTTTACATATTTCTTTGTATCAAATATTAAACACAAAATGCAAGATTAACTTTCAAAAACAAACCTTACAATAATCAGGTATTATCTATGAACATTTTTGCAGACCACTTTTGAAATACTTATTATTTGCAACATAGACTGGACTATAACAAGTGGCTGGTTAAAGTTGAGTGTTTGTGCATATAAAGAAAATTTAGGATTTTATCTCATGGCTGATACATTTGAAAGTAAATAATTCAGAAGATTTAATGCTGTGTATTAGAATTATGCCCCAAATAAATCTATCTCAAAAATTCTAATTCCGTTATTATGTGATGTTCATAGTGTTACTATTAATTGTGGTGACATTCATTTTTTTAAACTTAATTTGCAACCCAGATTCTAAAATTTGGGTAAGAGAGAAGAAATCTTTAGAAATAAATCACATCACTAGGGCATCCAGTTTATGATTGAATTTTTTAAAAAATTACTCTATTTTAAACTACAACTTTTAAAAAATGTTTCAAAAGGCAACATGTAGGTTTTTTCCATTTTATTTGTACTTTTAGATTTCAGAAACATCTTCATGTTTTGGACTCACTCTATAGACATAATATTACTTAAAAACTCAGGGCCCTCTTCATCCCTTTGCACATGAGAAACTTTAATTGGTAGCAAACGAGCAATTAGTCCAGTTGAATATTTAAAGTGTTTGTTGCACATACAGTTCATTTAATGTTTCATCTTATGATTTGACTTAATTTACATAGACATAACATCAGATTTCATTAATCATAAAAACTTGCCCAGTTCTATAATTACTGAATAGAGGGAAATGACTCAACTAATTGGCTACATGTTGCAGCCTATTTAGGCCTTAGAGTTGAAGCACCGTCTTAAAACCATTTCTCTTCTTTGGGTAAATGGTTATACACGATGGGACAAATCATTTCATTTTGCTTTGTTTTTTAATGGGAGAACTTAGTAAAGTTGTTCCTCTGAGATAAAATTTTCTTGAGGTAATTTAATATTAAAAAAACTCTTCTAAAAGTGAAA